GCTTCAAAATAGCAGTTAAATAAAACCCATGCTCTGCTTGGTTGGCATTCCGTAGATGTTGTATGAATAATATAACTAAATAAGAAGCGAGAAAGAAGAAAAATGTCAGTGGAGAGATACGCATAGATCCATAAGAATTTTTTCTGTCGAAGACGTGGAGAAAAACTAATTTGAAGCCAAAGTATCAAATGCATTAATGAAGCGATAATATAAATATAAAGTTGAGGTTTTGTATTATCAATAATAGCTTGAGTCCACAAGAGAGGCTTTGAACATGTGATGTTCATATTGTTGAACAGCAATATTTTTATTGTTACACTATTCATCTGCAAGAATAAAACTCTGCTATTAAAATGTCAACTGTCCAAAGTAATTTATAAAAATATCAGTCCTTAGGAAAATCTCTGGGGTATGTCATCGTGATGATGGTTAGGATTACCTAATGAGAATAAAGATATATTGTCTAATTAAAAGCCACATGATGCAATGGTTAATGATCCAAGTGTTTTGTGGAACTCATGCATATTTGCGAAGAAAATAGTGAGTGAAAATTTTTAGGTCAAAGTTTCGTGACTCTTCCCCCACCCCCCTTTCCTTCCGTCCCTTACAGACAGGCTCCCATTGCAGACCATTGCAACGGAAGAGAACATTACAGACAAATCTCCATTACAGACATACCACCCATTGCAGACCTTAGCGACCAAGTTTAAAATAATGGACATATATATATAACAGTTTCATTTGCCATATAATTCAATGCTTCTTATAATAAATATGTAAAATTAAAGAAAAAAGAATTGTTACAAATGAAAAATACTGAGCGAATAGCAAGAAAGAGAACGAAAAATAAGGGCGCCTGTCAGAAAATTAAAAAATTCGTGATTTTATACTATCTATATTTTATATTAGTATAATGAAGCTGAAGAATATACGTGAGTTCCACATTTCAGCCCCTTTGAGGCTGCGCTAACAAGCTTTTTTTTTCATAAAATTAATTGTCATTAATAAATGCTAATGAGATTTATTTGATCATTTTCTTACTATTTCGAGACTAATTTTATCAACCGTGATCGGAACTAATAAATTTAATTGTAGGAACCTAGACGTGTTTTTTGTTTAGAACGAGGTGTTAGTTTTTTTAACAGATTGACTCGATTTAGATGTGACTAATGTGCAAGGTACTAAGAAAAACCTTATTTAAACCCATGAATATAACTAACTAAATACCGCTTCACTTCACGGTCGTAGATCCCCTGGAAAAACGATGCACCAAGATTTATAGAAGTTCTCTTAATTAATTAATTTCTCGAAAAGTTGATACTTTAATTATTATATCTACATTATAGTATGGCTAGTTTTTAAGGATTTGAACTCAAAATGTTAATAGACTGAGATCAATATAATTTCTAATCGTTAAAGATCTCAATAGTTTGTTCCGCATACTCACAAGCTTTTTGTTTTTTTCAAAGTCATTTAAATTAACTGTTGTGAATATAAATGAGACTAAATAGAAGATATTTGAGAAACCATCTTATGCTTGGAAATAATAGATAATCCGAGATTTTCTCCCGCTGAAAAGTGGCTTATTTATTTAAAGACAAACTGGACTGGCTTATTATTATCTTCACGGTCTCAATCTAATTCTGATTCGATCATCTGATATCCAAACAAACTCGAAGCGAAAACAAACATTTCAAAAAACATTTGCTGCTTCTCACTCAAATAAATAATCAATCCATGTGATGGATTCATATTAATGATACATCGTATTATGATTCAATCAAGTATAAATTAAACAAATCACATCGAACCATAAGGTTTAGACAGCATCCAGGTGGAACTGAAAGAATTTAGAGATTTTATAGATAGGAAATTAGGGTTCACGATGTGACACTGGTGCCAGAAAAAGGCTTTCAATCAAACTATGATTATAAAGTAAGGAAAGCCTAGATAGATAATACTAAACACTCATGTATAGCTTAACAAACGATGGTTACAACAAAACCTTCAAATAAAATATCTAATTTGAAGTGCAGCAGACAAAAAAAGAATTACCTGTTAAAATAGTCACAAAAATGTAAGAAAAGTATCAACTTACTGATAAAATCTGGTCTTGATGCTACTCATGTATTGTTAGTGACTATAAGTTTGATTCAAACTTATATGCGATGTCTAATTTAGTGAAATTCAGTGACGTTCAATATCACCAAGTGTAAAATACCTTGATCAATATCTTCTATTATATGTCATTTCATATCATAATGAATTTACAATGTTTCATGGCCGAGCTAAATTAATGCGATGAAGCTGTATCACAGTTGGTGTGTGTCCCAAGAAAATCATTTGATTTGAATGGTATACTTATTATCTAAACTTTTAGATAACTTTGAAATCGTGTGAGAAAAGGAAATGCTCTAGACTGTCACTTCCGACTGAATACCTTGTTCAGATACAATTAAAATTCGATGACACTGATAAGGAGCAAAGATGATAAGCCCTCCTATCGAGATTGTACGTGCTTTAATAAAAGTTTGAAATGCGCTCCAATATTACAACAAAGAATTGAATAAAACTAATTTCAGAGAAAAAAAGATTACTCGATATTGAAGTGTATGTATCTATAGCAGTTGATTGCATGAAACCCCTTGAGAATGGGAACCACATATATGTATTTTAGTTCTGAATCAACTCGTAACTGATTTGGGCATGTCTATTATGACACTGTAATGGTATAAATGCTAGTAGAGGTCATACATTTACCACTTTCGATATTTTGTAATCCTATCATCTGCATTATGCTCTTGTTCACCTTCTATCTTCCTATATTCAAACCCATTACTTCTATTCTCTTGCCTTACGTCATCATTCAATGAAGACATATTATCCATTTCTTCGCGTATATTTGCGTGTCTGTGTCATATATTAATTCGATTTTCTGACTTTCAACTGCAACGGATGCGTCAACAAATTGAAATGTATGGAATATTAAAAGCATTAAGAGGTCGACCTAGTTCTGGAGACAATCCTATTAGACTAACTGATGACCATTTTCCATCACTCATACTTTCAACAACGGCAAAATAAAAATCTTCAAAAGCAATGTTTAGTTGGTGAAAATACGACCGTAGCTTCTCAAAAGGGGCACTTCATAAAAAAAATAAGCTATTTAATAAATCTTCATAGCTGTTTAAATAAACTACTCGTTAACTTGAACAAACTATATACGATATACTAAAAATCGAGACAAAAAATTTTAAAAAAACCAATTGGTGTCTAAATCTGGAAACTCTTAACTTATGAAATATACTCATAATAAAGAGTGAGATCCTTTTTGTAATAGATATCATTATATTTTACATAATACTGACTATCTTTACATAATGTATTATAAGTAGTAGTTGCTTCTGAAAATACTAAGCATAAACAAATAGTTATTACATAAACAAGCAGCTATAAAACTTAAATAATCAATATTGAATGTCTCTAAATAGTACTACTTATAGATCACTAACCGTCACGCAGATATTTTCATCAAGATATTTTTTCATTTGTCTCCCCTCCCCCTTGCTCAAAAACAACACGTAACGCTAGATAAGACCCTAAGAGCAAGTTTCAAAACGAAGAATATTTTATTTATAAGAACAACGAATAATTGAAACGTGCTCTACATTAAACAACTATTTATGCAAATATTTTCGAAAGTCTGACTTTAAATAAATAGTGAAGACGTATTTGAATACCTATGAACATTTAAATAGGTGACAAGTATTAGTATATCCAGAAAAGCTTTAAATAGCCATAGAAGAATTGAATACCTATAAAAGGATTAAATAGCTATGCAAGAAAAAAAATAGCACTGGATGAATTAAATAACTCAGGAAGCTTTAAATAGCTATGAAAGAGTTTAAATAACCATGGAGCAATTAAATTTACATGGATGAATGAAATAGCCATGGAAGCTGTAAATAGCTATGAGTTTAATAGGTATGAATGAATCAAATAGCTACGAAAGAGTTCAACAGATATGCGAGAAATAGATAGCTATGAAACAATTCAATAGTCATAGAAGAAATAGATTACTCTGAAAGAATTAAATAGTTATGAAAGAGTTAATTAGATATACGAGAAATGAATAGCTAAGAAAGAATCAAATAGCTGTCGAAAATTTAAATAGCTTTCACAAATTGTATAGCTATGAAGGTTGAGAGAGTGATTGAAATTTAAATCTCTATGCGAATTGAGACTACCTGTACGATTCGCCAAGTGTATTAGGTTAAGAAAAATTGTATCTATTTTCAGAGTGAGCCAACACAACAAGCAGAGCTGAACTAATAATTGGCTTCGGATAGGAATGTGATAAATATAATGTCACCCTTTGTCTATCTCGTAGTTTTGGGATATCAGTGTGGATGTGCCTTCAGAAAAGAGTCATATCCATCCAGCATCCACATCCACCTACATCCTCTAATTTCGAACGGACAATGATTTATTGCTTGTGCGATATCTTTTTAAGAGTGGCTCGGTGAATTTTTGAACCTGAATGTGAGTGAAAAGAAGACTTAAACTCACATCTTGATGTTAAATTATGAACAGCTCAATATTTTAGATTGCACTTTCATCATGAATTATTGAGACTTGGGCATACATTCTAGAATGTGGATGTGGTCGGAGAGAATACTGACGCCGATTCTCACAATCACGCTCCTTAGCAACCGTGAACAAGAGACACTAAATCCTGTTCCCAGAATTCCTGAACAACAGAAAAAAAGCTACACTGCATTAACAATTAACCTTAAACTATCCTAAAAGCTTCTAATGGATTTCAAAGTCTTTCTTGAAATTCAAACGGATGAAACATGCTTGTGAGTATTCTAAATGACAAAATTTTGATTTTTACACCGATAAAATATCAAGTGATAGATGTCAAGGATGTTGAGTGGTATTTTATTGATTTGCCAGTTATCACATGATCAACATAAAAAGTATGAACTGATCAAGTTATAACTTTAGTTTAGAATCAGTATCAGTGTTTCTGAGATTATCGAAATACATCATAGTGCTTTGAGACGTTCTGATGTAGATACAATCAATATGTACAACAGGTTTATATATTAAATGAAGAAAAAGAAAATATGGAAAAGAAAAATAGCGACCAAATAGCAACAAGGCATATGAAAAATTCACCACCAGAAGAAAAATAAATTTACTTAAATTCAGAAATAAAGAAGAAAGATCATTTCTCTTACGATCGATTATCTTGAAGAACAACGATAGTTTGCAAAAGATTTTTTACGTTACGTACTTTGTATTAGTACAGGGTCGAAAAGAATATTATTCAAGGGGGGTAACGATATAATCCCGAATAGAAGGTATGATGAATTTTATACCAAATGAAAGCCCGTGAAAAACGGGGTTTAGTGATGCTAAATACAAAGGCTTTGGAAAACTTTCATACATCAAACCCATAAAAAGACTGCGTTTTGTTGAAAAAAAATCATTATAACTCATTTTTAATGAGTTTCAAGATATTGAAAATGAAGAGTTTTATAGAAAAAAAATCACAGAAGGTTATGGTAACGATTAGAAAACACAACTATAATTCAGAAAACAAGATGATTCTCTTGCGTTCTTTTGTTTACTACTTGTAATTTTAGTTGTTCTATCAAAGATTTTTTTCTTTTCGTTCTGCACGAAAGTCATAGTGGAGAGAAATTTTGGAGATACATCGTGGGATATAAAAGATAATTTTCTTATCGATATGTATCATAATAAAATTCATCGTCTCGTTAAATCATCACACTTTTGTTATTTCAAATGGCTGGTGCTTATGATACTGAACAACAGAGAATAATTGACAGGATCAAGTGCATCGCTTTTTGTTACAGTCATATGTTTACATATCTTGACTCACTTCGTTCTTTGCGATACGTGCTTATTCGAGTCGAATTCCTTGATGCTTTATTCTCTCCTATATATTGCCCTCTCCTCTCGCTTGCGAGATGGTGTATCGCTTCGAATAAAGTGAACCTCTAATATTTGGTGCCGCGACCCGATCTTCTTTACTATTACCATCGAAGAAGAGAAGCCATCTTTAAGAGATTACGTTTATTATCGTATTTCTGATCAAGCTACTACAATATTCCACGATGAATTTATCGCAACTAAGTCGGCGTCATCAACAGTTAGCAGAAGATCATTTATATTTCTTCACCGGGAAACAAATTCAAAGTGTTCGAGCATGGTTCGAAGACATTGAGATGGTAGCTAAAATGATTCATGCTGATGAGTCTGTCTCAATGAAACAAGCAATTGGGCTGTTGATCGATGAAGCCGAGCAGTGGTATCAGCAAAACAAAAACATATTAACCACATGGTCGGATTTTAAACATGGAATGATACTGCAATTTGATAAGGATTCAAAAAAAAATACTAACACAAACGCTACGATGCAATCGGCAACGCTGATGAAAAAATTTCGGCGTACTATCGCATGGCATCCACAGCACGTCGCACACTACAGGTCATATCACGCTAGTAAATCATCTTCAACTAATCAAACATCGTTTTGCTCGCCGTCTCCCTCTCCGCTCTTTGAGTTAGATTCGTTTGAAGACCCATGGCCTAACGGTACAGAGTCATGGCATTTTCATGAGATACGGCCCCAACGATCATCATTTACAACCAGAGTCGATCGAGAAATGTTGATGATCACACCACAAATCGTCGTAGAACGAAAACATCAACCAATAAAACGTGCACTACAATCGAATCAAACCATAATTGAATTTGCACCGAAAATTGATCAAATATCACTTCTACCTGTTAAACTACCAACGGACATGCACGAAGTCGTTGATATGGATGCTTTTCTACAAAAATCTTTACCATCATTCGAGAGAAAAATTGCTTCGGATGTCTTGAAACTAAAACAGCAGCACCGATTTGCTCTGAACTTGAACGATCTGTCAAGCGATTCATTACTCTCATCACATTTCGTATCACAACTGCGGCTACAAGATCAATCGCGCAACCGATTATTGCAACAAATCGGTGTACGCTCTGCTGTGTTGCTATTATTTTTATTTACAGTACTAATACGCTTCGACATTGTACATTGTCTAACATATCTTATACACAGTGTTACCACAGAATCTCAAACTTTCTCATTAATATTCTTTATCAACACGATTCTCACTATCTGTTCGCACCATCTAAAGCATTCAACGCCGCACGTTAAAACCATTGAAACACTTCGTCAACTCGAATCACTCTTAATTTATCCTGTTACATAATCATCGCACAATATTTTTCATCACATCCTACGCTCATGACTATATATCGTATTTTCTGCATTCAATTATGTTTCTGCCTGTCAAAATGAGTGACAATGGCCGATATTTTCCTGGAAATTTTTTTAACAAGCTTTCGTGCTTGCACGTTTCGTTAATATTCGTACACTCATCCGTTCTCGACGATCACAACTTAGATTTTCATTATCAGTTTTCTTCTTCGTTAGCTATTCGTACATTTCGTCTTCATACGTTAGAACTTATCGCACGGTGTACGCATAATTCATCATCGTTTTCGCATTTTTTCTTTTTTTAATTGATTTATTTCTTGCTTTAATCTTATTCATTTTTTTTGCAGTTTTTTGTTGTTGTTTCTTTTCCTCTTTATGATGTGTGTGGACACACATCTCTGTCGGTGAGGAGGTATGTTACAGTCATATGTTTACATATCTTGACTCACTTCGTTCTTTGCGATACGTGCTTATTCGAGTCGAATTCCTTGATGCTTTATTCTCTCCTATATATTGCCCTCTCCTCTCGCTTGCGAGATGGTGTATCGCTTCGAATAAAGTGAACCTCTAATACTTTTCATGAAGCTCGCGATGCTGGTGCAACATTTATAAATAGACAATGGATTGCGGACAAAATTCATCGCACAACTCGATTTGTCTCGGAGTGGTGGAAAAAATCATATGACCAATGCTTTGCTGATTATTCAAATGTTGGTGCTAAACCTAAATTACCAGAAGCTAGTCGAGAAATTATTCGTCAAGCAAGTGGTCAACAAAGAAAAAGCGGTCCTGTTGTGGCAAAGGAGATTGCAGAAAAGCAAAAAGAATATGCCACTGGAAGAACAATTAATAATTACCGTCACAGAGAAGGATTAAAACCGTTTCATGTTATTCCAAAACCGTTAAAATCTGAAACTCATATATCAGATCGATTATGGCTCTGTGACTGGTTAAAAGATTGGACTGTAGAAGATTTTCTTCATCTGGCACCATCTGATGAATTTTATATTTGGACTGTCCGTCGACCAAATTATCAGAATGATAGGATCTGGGCGAAAAGTATTGAAGACGTTACTGAAGATGAAAGATATCGTGAAATGGTAAAAAACCAATCATGTGTTGGAGTTTTTATAATGTTTACTTGCAAAAGATTACTATGGATTATCAAAGATAAAGGGGAATCTTGGACAGGTCAATATTTTCGCGATATTGTTTTGATTGAAAATGTAATTCCTTTCTTAAAAAATGAAGAAAATGTTATTGATCCTGATGAAGTTATATTTGTTCACGATAAAGCACCGTGTATGCGAGCAAATAAAACTCAACATTTGCTCCAAGACAACGATGTCAAATTTTGGAGTAATGATATCTGGCCAGGAAATTCACCTGATCTCAATGTGGCAGAACACATCGGATCAATAATCAAAGATGAAGTTGAAAAAAAAATGTCATCGGAAAGTGGACATAATCGATATCTTGAAGAAACGCTCAAAATGCACGTCGCAAATGTTTTAGCAAGCATGGAAGAAGATACTGAACTATTTGAAACTCTTCTATGCTCATATCCATCTCGATTTCGTGCTGTAAAAAATGCTAATGGTCGTCACACAGATTATTGATTATATTCATTAAAGAATAAAAAAAGAAACTATTTTCTAATGCCTTTAATTCGAATACTATATGATAAACTAGTTTTCTCATGACTTTCATGGATGAAAAATCGGATCTTTTCAGAGTTTGACATATGAAAGTTTTCCAAAGCCTTTGTATTTAGCATCACTAAACCCCGTTTTTCACGGGCTTTCATTTGGTATAAAATTCATCATACCTCCTATTCGGGATTATATCGTTACCCCCCTTGAATAATATTCTTTCCGACCCTGTATAATAAGGCTAAAGAGTACATATGAGTTCTACATTTGAGCCTCGAACGGCCTATGCTGACAAACTGTTTCTTTTTTTTTGACTCTCTTCCTTTCCGTCTGCATCTCCATCTATATATTTCATGTTATTTTAAGTATTTGTTTCTTTTTTTGCTTTTCTCTATCCTCCTTTGACGTGACATTTTATATTTTATTTGATTGTTTCTCCATCATGAGTTTCTTTTCATGTTGGTTTTTTATGGCTACAGGAGCGCTGCTCTCTATACATAGGTATTGCACTAAAATAAAAAGGATTATTCTACAACTATTTTCTGTAAAAATATCAAACAACATTTGTTGTGACTTATGTGCAACAGTTCCTATACAATATAGTGTTTTATGCGATATGCAAGACGATTAAGTTGGTAGAGTAATGTAGCTAACATCAATTCCGAGGGTAGCTGTAACACTACTTCGTCGGTTTATCACAGTATAGTGCCATAAAAGAAGCAGAACCATAATAACGAAATTTTTCACTCTTCAATTGCGTTAGACATACTCATATAGCCGTTATAAAAATAATAGATACAATTACACGGCCATGCAACCTATTTCATGCATTTTAATGCATTATGTTAGCAAATAATGCATTAAAGTGCATGAAATATGTTGTATTATAATGTAATTAAGCCATTGCTTGACTACATGAGTAGTGGTTGATCAAAATAAACTAACAGGAAACGCAATTGAACAAGCTAAAATAAGAATCCGTTTACTACCTCTATTTTATCGGTTGCGTTATTGCAGTTCTCGTTTGACTTTCTACCTTCATTAATATTTCACGCGTGTGTCACTTTGATTGAAGAAAAGAAATAGAGCGTACAATCAAATTTAGTCTATTTTCAAAATTGGTGCTTGCCTCTTTTCAAAGCATTATTCGATAGTAAGTCAATACCAGTTTTTCTCAGACTAAGAGTTCTACTTTTGCGATCGTACGGTTGAAACCAGAATAAAACCCAAAGTTTATCTCAAAAAATTTTTTAGAATACTTTCTTTCCTGTACAAATGAGAACTGTGTAACATAAACATCGCGCTTATATTGATGTCTTCTCCGCGTGACTTTTCTTTCCTCTTTGTCCCCTCTATCTATTATTATTTCCGGTGCTCATCTCTCTCTCTTACTCTCTTAAATATGGGCATGCACTGTATGTGATGGTGTATGGGGTGTGAGTGTGTGAGTGAGGGGAGGCGGGTGTGAGTGTGGGTGTCTGGGTGTAAATGTGGGTATGAATGTCAATGACAGAAAAAGACACCCACACTCAAGAAAACCGTGTTTTGGTACTGAAAAGAATGTCACTTTTGAAGTTTTTCGCTTTCGTCAATGAAAAGTGACATAATCATGCAGAATATTCCATTTATTTAATTTATAATTAAAAGGAAGGTATTATGCTGATGGAAATGGTCCTTTTCATAGATGAAATCGTAAATCTCAAAAGATAACTTACATTTCAACATTAAAATCATGTTTATTTTATTCTTAAAATCACTCGACCAGCGTGTGATACTAAAACTAATATGTTAATGTCCAACTCTTCCAAAGAGAAACAATTTCAATTTAAGTTCATAAAATATTTTTCGATCTTGTTTTCTCAGGCAAGGAAACCACACTTGCGACTATAGCTAATCGAATTCAATTATAATCAGAATCAATCAGAAGTTATTGACCTACAACATTGAATTTTTTGAATCGAGTTCAAACTTATTTAGGTACCTACAACAGCCGAGATTTTCAGCACAATGTAGGTTTTAGTTAGGAAGTCACTTCTGCTTTTGAGTGAACAGATTTTGAACTACTCTTGAGCTTATTGATATCAGCAAAAGTCGTTAGATGTCGCTTCGCTGTCTGAGAAAATTAAGTAATTAATAGTAAATTTTGTTGTGAAAAAATTCAATGATTTCGAAGAAACTATCACTTTGCCCAAAATGGCATCAACTTTCGATAATTTCTATTTTTTCTTTCATTAAGAAAGTAACTGCATGGAGTTAAATATTTACAAATACAAGAAGCTATAATCAAATTCTTTCAAGATTGTATAGAAAGTTCGCAAAGTCCTTCAGCCACGAGAAGGAAAGGCTACAATTGTTGATTGAAAATAAGAGAATTGTGAGATGTACATCTGTAGAATGCATGGAAGCCTCGTCAGCACAGTTCCTTGGGGCAAAAGTTTAGAACTTACATATATCCTTAAACCTTACTTTAATTATAAATATAGACTACAGTAAAAATATTCTCGTAGAGTAATTGTTTTTATAAATAATTGACGACGATCACTTCACTATATTACTTATTTCTGAAATTAGTGCAGAAAATTTCTCTTTTTTGTGCTCGCTTCCGCAATTGCATTAAAAATTGTTTCTGCAAACTCGATGTTTACCTTTTTTATACTTGTTATTGAATTTAACACTAATATTTTTCTAACTAGTGGTCTAGCTCACAAATATGACTGTTACACTTATAAACTACATATTCATCCATGCCGCTTCACGTAGTATTATATGGCTCAATCAATTCGTAAATGATGATATTCTCTATTTTTAAGTTTGTGAAGATCGTGTAAAAATTTTTATATTGAATCCTATGACTACTATGAAAGATCTATCGATCACTACTCTTCACTCGTGACTTTTATATCTTGAGATTTGACTTACGAGTTAAAATTTCATTTCAAAACTCGTTCCCTGTACTATCAAAAATGTTGACTACTATACTAAAGCTTTTCAGATTTCGCGAAAGTTGTTGTAATGTTGTAAAGGAGTCGAAATCGTATCCTTTATATACTTTAAAATTTTTTCCGTAACAAATCAATGCAAAATCTCTTATGTGTAGTTACCTAGGTCGGTAGCAGTGCAATTCGTTGGTTGCCAGAGTTTTTAATGGTTAGATACTGCTCATTTATTACTATTTTACATACAAAGATGGATAAAATGGCAGTCTAATTAGTGTAAAATCTCGATGGACGAATTACTAATTTCTATAACTCATAATTAGTACAGGACTAACTAATAAATGTCTGTGCTGAGCAAGAAGCGCGGATGTGGCAAAAATCTTGCTTTTTAGCTTACACACCTTATTTTAGAAGAAACTATACGTGTGTACTACACGATTGATTTATTCTAACCTTCCTCAACGTTAAATACAGTATATCAAGATCATTCGTCGAAACCAAAGATAGTGCAAAACAAAGTTATCGATTTTGGAAAAAACTGCCAATGAAATGCTGCTAACTGGGGAGAAAATCAGAAATAATGTCTTTAAGCTTGAAAAGAAGTGAGAGTGAGATTATCATGAGTCGAAAAAGTCGAAAACAAAACTTGTCAAAATACCAGGGAATCCTCTCTAATTCACAACTCTCTGGTGAGTCAAACTCAGGAAATTTGGCTAAGTTTATGTGCGTTAAACTCAGCCTAACTCATTTTTAATCACAAACTCACAACTCATTGGTTTCCCCTTGGTATAAACTCATGTATCATCAATTTGATTTGCAGGTCATGTTCAATTGATTTCGCAGTTTATTATGATCTAATTAAATGATGATGACATTGGCTATCACAACGATGTATTTCTTTCTATGATGAACAAGGATTACTTGAACGAAATATTCATTTTTTTTTGTTTATTAAAGTTTTAATTGATTGATATGTTGACTTTGATTGAATAATTTCACAAGTAAAATTAGTCTATTCTAAACCACTAGTTTCACATACTGCTCATACAAAAAAAATGATATTGTGTCCAATTTTGAATATTTCAACAGGAAGTCTACCAAATTATATATATTACAGCTTTATTCATATGTATGTAGATTAGAAGAATTTTCAAGAACAATTTGTCCTGAAGCAATGTATATGGTATTAAAACCATATTTGAACCCCTTCATAAGAACATCGTAGTTGATACGAAAATTTATATGGAGCAAAGCAAGTTGCTGCAAATGATCAGCAACACTGTATGATCGTTTTTACGAATTGTTAATGATTACTCGAAAAGATCAGTGATTTTATCTAATAAATAGAAATAAATGTTTTAAATTAAATCTTTTTTAGTTCACTAGAAATTGATATCTCTTATGAGATATAATTTTCAACTGGCAGACATCGTTCATTGTGTTTCATGTTTTAGCTGGAAGTTGATGTTTAGAAAACTAACGAAAGACTAAAA